CCCCCCACCCTCGGGCGCCCATCACACACAGTCGTTCGGTCAGTGTCGAACGCGAAGAGGTCATTTTTTCTTTTAATCACTCTCGTGTTCGCCGGCGCCTGGTGACCCATGCTAGATTAGGTCACTTTGACGTGCGTGGTGGTCGGTCGGACAACGACAAAGGGAGGCGGGGACATGATGCGACCCGAGCCAAACGTTTTTTTTTTTTTTTTTTTGTTTTTTTTTTGGTCCGCCTAGCTATAAACATGCTTCCACGCGTTTAACGGTTGTATGACTCGCAAAGTGCTACTGCAATCAAGCCTTTGGTGCAGCGGGCTGCCCCCACTCGAAATGTTTTGGACGCAGAGAGTTGTTCGGCGGGGCGGCTCGTTCGGCCAGGGCGGCTGCAGTTTACGCACCAAGAGATGCGGATGGGCAAGTTGGAGGGTTCGGGATCGATCAAAGGCTCCTCGTGACGCGGTATCCGCTCCTCTCCAGGCTGACGCCGCGTGGGTAGGCAGGCAGAGCCAGCAGCCGTCGCTCACCGGCGCGCACCTTGCCTTGGCAGCCCGCCCCCGCGTTTGCCGGTTCGCCGGAGCTGTTCGGCTCGGTTCGGCTTCTGGGAGACAGGAGGAGAGCAGGCCGGCGTACTTCAGGGAATACAACATTCTGGAAGCGAAACGGAAACTCGCCACTGTAAGGACAGAGATGCCAGACCAGGTGAGGCGCGCCTCCCTGGGCGTACTCTGTGTACAACCATTGAAAGCTCAGTGAGGCGGACGCTGCCCCCGCCGCCGATGAGGAGGACGCAGAGGTGAAGCAGTTGTGAAAAGTAATCCTTTGCATAAGCTCGCGACCCTGCTCCATCACGCCGAGCAGCGCACTCGAGAGGGTCGACCCTCTCCGCGCGCTCGCGACTCGCGAAAGCCAAAGCGAAACTCGGGCTGTGGTGATCATCTCATCCCCTCTGCTCGGCATAGAGCCCCGGCAGAGCTCGCGACTCTGCGGGGTGTGGCTGAGCAATTACTTTCCCGGCGCTCTGCCCTCGCGGCTCTGCCCCCCCGGCCCAACACCATACACCACCCTCTTCACTTCCGGCTCTGCCTGCGACTTTTGACCGAGCGAGCGAGCAGGAGGTCTCTGATGTTGTCCTTGGCCCCGCCTCTCCGCGCGCCGTCAGGAGTGGGCGAGACAGAGAGGGAGGTGGAGGTGGAGAGGAGCGAGGTGTGCGATGAGGCGTCCAAGTCTGAATGCGCGGCACGGCGGCACGGTGAGGGGCGGGCAGGGCAGGGCGCGGCCAGGCCCTCCAGGGGGTTGTGCTCCGCTCCACGCAAGCGCTGCTGCCGCCGCCGCCGCGACGCGGCCGCCGCACGACGGCTGCCGAGACACGTGGTGTCATGTGCTGTCAGGGGGTGCCGCCAACCACACACCGCGAGCAGCTTTACGCACGCACAACCGCGTGTGTATGGTATACGTACACTCAAACCTCTTTTGGCGTGGCTGTGGTGGGGCGTGCGGAGCGGAGCGGAGGAGCGCGCTGCTGCACCCGGCTGCTGCACGCGGAAGTAAGACGGCGGCGACGTCGTTATCGAGCCAAATAATAGTGATTGAAAAGTTGAGCAGCCCAGCTGAGTTCACAGGCATACAGCACAGCGCTACGCCAAACGCAAGTCTTACCCCCCCCCCTACCCCTCTCTCTCTCCATCTCGGTCTCTCTCGCTCCTTTTCGCTCAGAATTTCTCTCTCTCTCCTTCCTTCTCCCTAGCAAGGAGTTAATGATCAGAGTTGAATAAGTCGGCACGTCGTTAAGTCGGGCTAATACCGGGGCTGCAGCGAGTCCTGCCCCCTTCCCCCGCTGCAGCGCGCTGAGCTGGCAAGGCTGGGGACCCATCATCTTTTCTTCTTCTCCGTCTCCCCTCTCCCTCTCTCTTTCTCTTTTCCCACCCCGCTCCCACTTTCCGGCCCGCTGCTGGTCCAAATCCCCAGGTGACCCACCCAGGCTGAGCGCGTGGAGCGGGGAGTGTTCCGAGGGTCGCGAGTCCGCTTGTCTCCCCCTCCCCTCTCCTCCTGCTTCCTCCACTACTCCCCGGGTGGAAGGATCTTTAGTTAAACTGTAGTTTGGACTATAGCGTTCAAACTGCAGTCTTGAAACTGCAGTTGCAGAGGAGAAAAAAAAGAGAAATGAGTATAGTTGATACATTAGTTTGGCAATTGAGTTTTCAGATATTTTATTATGCTACTTTTTCTGTAGTTTTCCACACTAGTTTC